GTCGGCCGGCGGGGGCGAGGGGGGGGGGCGGTGTGGACCTTTTTTTCCCAAAGAGAATCTGCTGGGAGAAAACGAAAATATTTTTCCAAAGAGAAAATCCGCTGGAGAAAAACGATAAATTTTTCCAGGGACACTTTCTCCCAAAATTTTAGGAGGGGGAAATTCCCTCCCTTCCCCTCCCTAATCGTATGGCCTGGATATTAGCATATAATTATTTACTTGAAATTGTATTTTTCGTTGCTAGAAAATGTGTATAACTTGAAAATTTTTTATTCGATTTAAATAGAAGCTCAATGTCAAGGTTACGATTTTCAAAATGTAATCACGAATGATAGGAAAGTTTTTAGATAAGATATTTATTTACTTTTCACTCACTAGAAAGAATTTCGGATCAATCAAAAACTATAATTTGGTGCTCTTTTCGAATATGGAATTAGAAATTTTGTTCGAAAATATTAAACTAATGTTTGAAAAGTCCAAATAATTAGTTTGAACGAAAAATTTTTGTATTTTAATTGTTGCGATTTGAAATTAAAATGCACTACTTGAAATTCTTTTTGTCTTTCGATAAGGCGTTGTTCCTAACACTGGTTTTTGAAAAATTCAAAATTATTTCACAATGAAAGAAATTAAAAAAAAAATGCTGGCAGCGTCACTTAGATAATCTATATTAAGATCCAAGTCATAGCTACAAAATATCTATTGAAGTTTAAATAAATACGCTTCGATAAGTTAAATTTCTTTTCATGTAATAGATGAAGCGACATCTGCATGCTACTTAGTTACGTTTTCTTCATCTCTGGACTATAAACTTAGTAATTTCGAAATGTTTTGAAATTTTTTTTATGATCAACAAGGTATATCGTTGTGAAATACATTTTATACATAGAGTATAGAAATATCAAAATGTCTCGAAATATTATACTGAAAATTTCAACAACAACAGCAACACAATTGTAATATTCTTGTTTGCTTTTCTTTTTCTTCTTGCGTGTCTTTTTTTCTTTATTTAATCAACATCATCTCTCGTCATACTTTTTTCTTCCTACTTGAATATAACTATGACTGACGCAAGCGGTAATAACAAACAAGATGGTGATGATCATAATAATATACTTGAAAGGTGTGTAAAGCATTGATTTATTTTACAGTCTATCTTTATTCAGAGAAACCTTTCAATATTCAGGAATATTGCGAAATTATGTCTTATTTTCAGTTTTGTGTTATGATGACTCATTTTGTTTATTGCCCTTAATCCATATATTCTTCTCTATACTTCACATGAAAATTTTACTCAAGTAAATATGAAACGTATAGTTTGTATCGTGTTATGATAAAAAAGAACCATATGTATGTTGTAGTAAAAATTAAAATTCTACCAGTAGAAAATGAAGTATTATTTTCTACTAGTAGAATTTTAATTTCTACTGCTACATACTCTATTAATAAACAAATGTATTCTACTATCCATTTCAAAATATGACGTGTTCAACATTTTTTTTTGAATAGGTTTCAATAGGAACATCACATAGACCTTTAATTTTCACTATTCATGAGAGAAGACTCCGGACTATCGAAGTATATCGAAATTTGATTGGTCAACAATTAACTAACCAGGTGAGATCTTGGTAGAGACTTTCAATAGGACTCAGTCAATAGAAAAGCTTCTTTTCGTTCGATCTACACAAGGCTGATATTCCTAATTTGTCCTTTTCGAAAGTTATACGGCTTTTCTTGAGAGCTGATATTTTAGCCAAGTAATCTATGATCACATGGAAAAGCATATAGACAAAGGGAAAATCACAATGCTGAGTCGAATGGTGATATTTAGTTTTAGGCTCGAACTGATTCTCCATGTAATGAAAGAATCGACATGAATTACCTACTTCTAGCTGCTTTCTCGGTTGATCATAAGTCAACTGGTTGGAATCGGGAGTTTCAGGAAAAATCTTATAACTCTCGAACAGGGCAAGCGAAGAATATCGACCTTGTATAGATCGAACGAAAATAATTTTTTCTATCGAATGAATCTTATTTAAAGTCTAAATCGAAAGACGAATAACTTCATACTATCGTTTTCAAAAATCTCCATCAAGAATTCATCTAATTGATCAATTGATGACCAATCGAATTTCTATAAATTTCGATGATCCTGTGGGTCTTCTCTCTTGAATAATGAAAACCGTAGGTCTCTATGGTCTTCCTAATGAAAGTTATTCAGAAATAGTGAAGCACATTACTTTTTGAAATGAATGGCAGTTTCTTAATTGGTTCTAGAATTAAAACTAAGAATGGGAAATAGTATTTTGCGTCGCAAACGTGGCACAGTTCGTGTGAAAAACAGGTATAGAATAATGTCTTATTCATTCTTCAAATTCAATAAAAAAATATTTTTGCAGATTGAATAAACATGATTAGATATGCAGAAATAAGCATTTTTTAAATGAAGTGGATTTTCAAAGAAAAACTTTAAGATCTTTTTGTTTTTAATTTTTATTGATAGAGTACTCTATAACAATAGCTTTAGTTAATCAATCTTATATGTCAACATGAAGTTTTTCTGAATAGCATTTTGTAATAAAAAAAAAAGATAACACTCAAATTCGACTTTTATGATGAGGTGTGCTTGAAATGTAGTAAAAAATTTGTTAACATTATGCTTAAGATTGACATAGTAAATTATGAATATTGATTTGTAATTGTCGTGAAGAATTTATCATTTATATCGTTTACTTTTTTAGTAAATCTAAGGGAACAAATAATTCGGAATCACCCATCAATAATAATGAAATCGCAGAAACGACTAATCTAAACACATCTGATGCAAAGATAATCGAAAAGAAGGATGCTTCGATAATACCTAGTGGTCTTGATGAATCTAGAAAAACAACTGAAGCAAATAAACTCGAACATTCTCATACATCAGAAACATCCAATAATGTGAGTAAATCCTCTAATGGCGATGAAGCAGTCGGAAAAAATGAAATGAATAGCCCCTATAATGATAAACAAACGGGAAAGACAGTTCAATCACAGATATCCGTCGATGAAAAAAAAGTTGAAAAAAAGGATCACGTGAACACATCCTCTGGCCACAACGAATCTGAAGGAATGAATGAATCAACTACATCGTCTAATAGCAGTCGAGCCGAGAAAACGAATAATTCAATTCCATCCCATGATCAAAATGAACAAGGAAGAATAAATAAAGAGAATACAACTTCTACACATAATGATCTCAAAAGAAAGGTTGATTCGGTGGCTAGTTCCTCTGATGTCTCTGAAAGTAATAAATCAGGTGGTTCAAAAATATCTTACAGTACAAATGAGCTTGATTTGCTTGAATCCATATTGAAGACGGAAACAAATCAAAAATTAATTAATCGCCTTCTTGGTTGTGCCTATGGACAAGCCCTTGGTGATGCATATGGTTTATCCACTGAATTTGAGACACGTGAAGGAGTTGCGTATAATTATCAAGATCGTTCAAAGATAATTCCATTTCCAGACTATATCTTAACTGGACATTCTAGCCGATGGAAAAAAGGTGATTGGACTGATGATACAGATCAATGGATATTAATTTTAGAAGCATTAACAGAAACCAATAATGATGAACCTGAAGAAATAGTTTTTGCTAGAAAGTTAAAAAATTGGATTCGATGTGGATATCCAGAATTAGGTGATCATGGTGGGATGGGATTAGGTGCCAACGTATCGCAGGTAAATCTATTCTTGTTTAAAGTTCTTCAATGAAATTAACAGAAGAGAAAATTATTAAATTGAGATAAAAGAATATTTCAGAAAAAAAGGAACAAAAATGAATTTTTTTGTAAATGGAAAAGAATTTTAAATATCGAAACAATTCTATCAATTATTATTTTGTCCTTCACTCGATATAGAATGCTTTCAAAGTTCTAAAACTTGTATTAATTTTTTTCAATAGGTAGTTCATTCTCATGGTTATATTAACGATCCACTCAGAGCAAGTGAAGCAGTATGGATACGGAGCAATCGTCAAGCAGCACCGAATGGAGCTGTTATGCGTTGTTCAGCATCGGCATTTGTTCATTTTAAAGATCAAGAAAAGGTATAAAATGTTGAGAAATTCCTTAGTTGATATTAGTATCAAAATTTGATGTATATTATTTATGCTTTTCTTTTTTTCGATGGAACGTTGGAGATAGTACATAAAGTGATTAATCGTATATGAGCTCATATTTTGAGCATACAAATAAGACCTCTAAACTAAAATAAATCTAAAAGGATAGAATACGTGGGCTGAATTGGTCGAAATACCGGAGTTTTAGCGTTTTTCTCTTGTAAGTTCACACTATAGAATTTAGATCAATGATTCTAGTTAGAAAACTCGGGAAAATGATATGAACTTAGAACCAGAACTTCGATGAATAATTTTTTCCCGTTTCGATTGTAACCGAACAGAGTTAGTCATTGGATCTGATCATCGAATTTCTGCTTCCAAATTCTTATCATTTTCTTGAGATTTCCAGCCGAAAATGACTAATATTTCTTGACCTAAGAATATTCATAAAATGAAATTTTCATGTGTGCAAGATTTCTTATCAAAATTTACAGCAGTTCTTACGTTGAAAAATCTGGGACTTTGAGAAGAAATACACAATAAGAAACACGATGCTTCGATTGATTTTACCATTGAAATCAAATGTGATTAATCTCGTTGGGTACTTCTCTCGTAAGAACATTAGTTTTTCTCCACATACATATTTATTAAAATAAAAATATTTTATAATATGATTCAATTTGAAAAGGTCATATCAACAACCATGCTAATGTGTAAAACAACTCATTTTGATCCTCGATGCATTGCTTCATGTCTTGCTATTTGTTTAACTATTACTTATCTATTGAATGAAGATTTTGATGAAAATGATATTGAATCATTAATAAAACGCGTTCAACAAGAAACTATCAGAATACTTGGTGATAGTTTTCTTGACGAACATCGTCAATTATTCTTATGGCATACAGATAAAGAACGTACACTCGAGGAACTAGATCTTGACGAATCAAGAAGTATTGGTTATACATATAAATGTTTAGCATCGGGTTTTTATGGATTAAGATCTACACGTTCGTTTGAAGAAACATTAAATGATCTTATTCGGTATGGAGGTGATGCCGATACTAATGGAGCAGTATGTGGAACTATGTATGGTGCAAGATATGGCTACAGAGCACTTCCTTACTCATGGCTGAGAGCAATGCCATTCAAAAAATGGTTTGATAAAAAAATTATTCAATGTTTCGAACAAATGGATTTGATTGATATGCACTAATTCCATGAGCAAATGATGATATCATAGATACAAAGAAAAAACTATTTTCCGTTCATTTATTTATATCTGAGTATAAACTTAACAAACTATTTGTTTTCTTTTATTCTTAAATTTTTGTAATTTTTAAGACAAAATTTATTGCAATTAAAAAAATTTTTATTTTATTAATTGAATTCAAATTTTATTCTATTCAACAATTGTTCAACATTCAATGGAAGTAGATGTGAATATTTATTACAGTAAAATTATGTTCGATGAAATGCAATTAGTTGATAATTTCTCAATCATAAAAGGATAGTATTTAAATACCTTTATGTATAGTTGAAAGTAGAAGAAAGAGATTGTTTTGGCTTATGTTTGTATTCACTACTTAAGTCATGTTCAAACACATTTATGACCGATAAATAACTATTTAGACAAAGCAATGTTGATTCAATCATACAAACACTTTTTGTCTTTTTCTTTTCTCATCATTAGTCATTCAAAATACTTTTTGTGTCTTCGTTATATAATCGTAAATATTTGTGTACAAATTAGATTAATTTTTATATAAACGTACATGTACATTCTCATCGACTCTGACAAATGTTAAAGTGTTGGTAAGTATACGTATATATGTATCATAAGACGAATGTGTATGTAACTCTATGCTTGTATATTTCGTTTTACTTTTATAGAAAAAAAAGATGTTATCTATCATATTCTTGTTATTGACTACGACTAGTAATGTCGTTGATTGTCAATTGTGGAATACATCCGATGAAATTCTTCCATGGGAATCATACATACAATTAAGTGATATACAACGACCACTTGGTCTTACAATTGATCGATCATCACTTGCACATCATCATTTTGCTATTGGATATTTTTGTTTTCATTCATTTATGTATGATGAAGCACAAGATGCATTTAATTTTGCAATTAATATTACACCTACATTCATTGAAGCTCATATTGGAAAAATGCTCGCGTATGCTTTAATATCTATAGTATTCATATCATTTTCTTAGCATATATTTTTATTTTAACTAGATGTAAACATGCATTATGGTTATATACTGATTTCGATTGTGGTCTAACAGCATATAATGCAATAAAATTAATGTTGAAAACATCAAATGTAACACTTTCACCATTTCAATCATCATTACTTTCAACAGTTTATCAATGGTATGCAAATCAATCATCGATTACAGTTGGAGAACAAGCATTTTTATCATCGATAGCAAATTTATCAAAATCATATCCAAATGAAACTGATATACGTGTTTTATGGGGTCTTTCTCTTCTTAATGTAGCCTTTGAAAATGAATTTCAAGGTCAAATCGAACCTGTACCAATAATAGAAGCAAGAGAAATATTGAAAACGGCACTCACAATTGAACCAAATCATCCAGGTGCTCTTCATTATCTAATACATGCTTATGATGTTAATCAAGTTGATATAGCAGAAAAAGCTGCAGATTATGCATTGACATTTAATAAAACTGTATTAACATTATCACATGCACAACATATGCCAGCTCATATTTGGATACGTACAGGTAATAGAAATTTTCAGGACAGGTAGATCTTGACGAGTAGAACAAAAGTTGTCATCTCGAATGTTGTCTTCTATGATATACTCAGATCACCACGTATAAAGATGGTTCCCTCCATTTCTCCGAGATGCTATGCAAAAAAATACCCATACCACACTAGTTTGTTATATCTTCATAATTAAAATAATTGTCTATATAGAGCGAAATAGTATATCTTTGTCTTTTTTGTTTGATAAATCAAGTAGACAATAATATTCATTATTGTATTGTCTATTGAATTAGGTGCATGGCTTCTTGCTACGTCATCTGATAGATCAGCTATTCAAGTAAGCTTGACATTATGTGCGACAAAATTGTTAAATCGTCTCATACGATTTTCATCAATTGAACTTGAATCTGTTTTAACTCAATTTAATACGACAAATCAAATATCATCTTTTCTTTTATGTGATGCTGAAAATCGAGCACATTCAACTGAATGGCTTTCATATTCTCGTTTACAAACAGGTGATTGGTTAGGTAGTATTGCTCTACTTAATGATCTATTCATTGCTGATAATCAATCACTTTTGACACCAAATCATTATTTACCATTTGCCTATCGAACTCAAGCACGTGCTATTGTTGATCTATTCTTTTGGTATCCTTACAATAATCAATTTTTAAATAAAATACAACCATTATTAGCATTCAATGAAGAACAATCTTTAATTTTTTTGAGTGACAATGCTACAGAATGGTATCCAATATGGACTGAAGCCGGATATCGTTTTGGTAAGATTTATTTGTTATATTCAAATATAAAAAAAGACAATTATTATTCTTATTATTATTTAGCTGATTCTCTGCAATTACTAACTACTTTTTATTTGAACAAGAATACATCTGATATTTTATCAATTATAGATAATCATCTAGTTCGTTTTGTTATACTTTCTAATCGAACTAATTCATTAAGTAAATATATATCTAATAGTATTTTAATGATGATACCTCAAATTCTTGGCATACGTCATTATATTCATGGATTATGGCAAGAATGTTTAAATGAATTAAATACAGCTACTCAAATTGAATCAATGCTTATACCTGAAAGTAATAGTCCTACTTTGATATTTGCACGTTCATCAGAATTATTTGCTATGCATTTATTAATTATTTATGAACAATATCAAAAACAATTGGTAAATATTATTTGTTTTTATTTTTTATCAATTAATGTTGAATATCAATTCATACATTGTATTAAACGAAATAATTCAATTTGATATTCTTTAGGTTGAGACTAACTCTTCTATCTACAAGCTAAATGGTACAGAAACAGTTGTTGACAAATTTCCATTAATAGCACTAAAGTTGTACAAAAAAGCTGATCAAATAGCTCCTAATCGAGCTATTAATACACTTGGTATGGCACGATCTACTGCTCATCTTAAGCGACATAGTATAGCAGTTGGTTTGTATCAACAACTCTTTTTTCAAATGACATCATCTAATAATAATGATGAACATTTTCTTAAAGAAGCAAATGATTATCTTGATCATCATAGTTCAGCTATACATTGTAGTGTTTCTTTCACTTTAATCTTTTTTTCAATGTGTATATTTTATTTTTCAATGAAATTTAAATAAACTTTCTTGAAAAACCTTGCTATTCATCTTATAATTGGGTGTGGGTATGGGTGTGTGCGTCATTGAAGAGCAGAATAGACACTAACACTTAAACACATGGATCCATCCCCTCCCCACTCTCTTGTTTGATGAACCTTCCAGTTCCGTCCATTTCTGCAAGAGCCATATCGACCATCATCTGATCTTGCTCAGTATTAATCGTTTGCGACACACAGAATCAAGAACGATCGGAAAGATCTTGTTTCTTCCCAACGATCTAACCAGCGAGTTACGGTCTCAGAATAAAATTTCGCAATCTTCGAAGTTTTATAAGTACTCAGTTGTGCGCCATACTTGTGCTTAGAGAGAAAGATATCACGTACAGAGACTTGTAATGGTGTAGAATGAAAGAATTCTACTATTCCTCTGCCTTTTATGTTACTTTTCTGTACAAAAACAACAGGATCCAGCTAATGACCAATCACTCATCAATAGGAGATGAGGTCGTTTCCATTAATCACATGTATCAAATGATATAAATATTACAAGCAATATTCAATACGCAAATTGCTAGAGAAAAGTTGACGAGAATGAACAAGCTGAGATACAACCTAGAAATCAAAGAGTCTTCGAGCATCTCGATAGTTTCTCATGAAAACTTTGTCAAAAATGTGAGAAACATCGATATTTAGACCATAATTACATCTCTTTTTTAATCGATCTAGCTTGGGTTGATGCTTGCGATAGCAATTTTTTTAGTTGTATCTCTGACAACAATTTGATGGAGAACAGTCTAAGTCACACTGAGTTTTACACAATTCGAGACTTATAGCCACTAGTATATATATACAGAAGTGCTTAGAGAAACACAGACAATGATTATCATATTGACATTTTACATCAATTTAAAGAAATCTGAATCCGAAATGATCGAAGGAAAACCTTCATAAATGTTAACCAATTATAAAAGCAGACAAAGAAATAATTGTGCTCTCAGTATTTTTGTCTTTTCTTCTTATTCTTGGAAAGCAAGATATATAGACTCTTACATCAATGTATCGACAAGTATGAAAGTGATCAGGTTTGAAAGTCTTGGTCTATATTCGTCGTAGGCACATCCAATTTTTTCTAAGCGGGAACGATCGAAATTCTTTGTTAAGTATACTCGAAAAAAAGAATAATCAATCCACTGTTTAGTATTGCTCTCTTTCTTCTCTTCTGCGTTTTTGCATGCATTAATCGATTCTGTCCTACAGAAGTGAAACAAGCTCTTCATACAAAGAAAAAGAAAACCTGGATTGCTGATGTGATAGTGATCGACAACACTTTTGTCGCTAATCAGAACGGTGAGCAACAATTCTAGGCCAGTGCCATTCGTCGACTAGTTCGAAAGATCGATCGAAGACTGCTTCCTTTGATTGTTCTTCTGGAAATTAGTTCATTCATCAATCGAGTGAGCATCAGTATGTATTGTTGACTTGAATGATTCGTTATCAATGATATTCTTCCAGGTCATGCTAAACTGGTGGGTATTCAAACTGATCTGAATATGTCAGACACAGAGAGTAATTGGGTTGTTTCAGTGTTCTATGTTTCCCATGTAAGAAAAACATCTTATAGATTTCAATATTTACCAATGTGACTTTCGACTCTAGTTTCTCTTCGATATTCCAAGCAATTTTCCTCTTCGTTTTAGCGGTGCAACTCTCTTTCTGGTACTGAATATGCTTGCATGGGGTAGTATCACGGTCGTTATGACTTTTGTAACTAATGCTCGACAACTACTCATTGTCCGCTTTCTTCTCGTAAGTTAATTTTAGAGATCTTTATTGAGAATAAAACTGTTGCGAATTGTCATTGAAGGGATTGATAGAAGCGGGTTATTTTCCTGGTATCATCATTTATTTCTCTCGTTGGTACTGTAAAAGAGACCAAACTATGAGAATAGCTATTATCTATGGTGCAGTAATTGCATCTCATGTCCACGCTGGTGTTCTGGTACGTACTCACCGATGTCATCAGAGACCGTCTAGTTTGAGCTTATCGAATCTACGATTGTTATTAATCTAGGCTTATGGTATAGGAAAAATGAAATGTATCGGTGGTCTGAAAAGTTGGTGATGGATGTTTTTTGCTTGAAGGTTTACCGCTAATTCCTCTTGGGATTGCTACGTATCTTTTCCTTGACAAAGTATCCACTGCCAAAGTTTAAAGCAGAATTGAACATGTTCAAGATTGCTTTTGAAAATTTAGGATTGAATAACATTGAGAAGCAACTATTGACGAATTTTCTTCGAAACGACGCCAGTATACATGATCGTAAATCTACATCAATTACTCAACTTTCACGGCGACAACTTCGTTATGTTTTCATCGATTGGCGAATCTATTTATATGGCCTGATTGCTGTTGGCAATTTATCCGTAATCCTATATCTGATAGCATTTTTCCGACACTAGTGGAAAGTACATTTTACTCCAAAACTGAAGCATACTTAATGACAGCGCCGCCTTATGTTGTCGCATGTATTTTCTGTTTGCTGTCTAACTACCCAACGTCACGTCGAAATGAACATGGCTATCATATCGTATTTTGTCTATCAGTCTGTTTGTTCGGATTCATCCTAATGCTTACTCTGTTCGATAAAGGCACAGTGGTAATCTATGTCACCACTAGTGTTGCTCTTTGTGACATACTTGCCGCATTTCCTTTACTACTCCTCTTGATTAACAAAAAAAGTCGGTGGTCATACAAAGAGACCAATAGCAATCAGTTTTGTAAGCGGTATCGCTCACATCGGTGGCATTGTCACACCTCTGGTAAGACTACTGCGTGTGTACGTTATAGGGAAATCTCTAAAGTTGATTTGCCACATATCAATGACTTAAAAAGAGTATTAATAGTAATAATCAAGGGGGAACAAACTGATTACTAATACTAGTAATCAATTTGTAATCACGAGTAATCACCAGTAATCACGAGTAATCATCAGTCCCGAACCGTGGGGTCCTCAAGTCCTATTTTTTGAAAAAAAATGTTTTTTTCGAAAAATTTTTTTTAAATGCAGAAATAGGCTTTTTGACAAAAAATAAATTTTTTCCAAAAAAAATTTTTGCAACAAAATTTTGGGGTGTTTTGGAAAAAATTTATTTTTTCCCAAAAAGTCTATTTCTGCAATAAAAAAAATTTTTTTTTCAAAAATAGGACTTGATGACCCTAGGGCTCGGGTTGGGGACGGAGATGGTTAAGAAACCGTTACCAGTTACCCGGGAACGTAACGGTAACTTCCCACCCCTAATCACCAGTAATCACCAGTAATCACTAGTAATCATTGGTAATCATTAGTAATTTACTAGTAATCATTGGTAATCAAGTAATCAAGTAATCAGTTTGTTCCCCCTTGGTAATAGTTTTGTTCATAGATTTATAGAGAAGGCGATAAGCCGATTTATTGAAGTGGCCACGTCATCTGCATTGTAATGATAACTATCAGTTTGATTCCTACTATTATTTTACGCAATTGCTTAAAGAGAGAAAATCATCGGCGAGAAAATTTATCAACGGAATATTATGAATCTGAGGCAACTATCAAAGAACCCTGCGATCGAGTAAGTTTCTATTTGATTTTATAAATTTCAAATTTTATTCTCTCATTGTCTTTAGCATCCCGACGTACGCTATGTGTAGTGACATGGAAATATTTTACATCTATCGAAATAAACGTGAATATCAAATATTTTTATAATTAATTCATTACAATTTGTCTTCCAATTTTTTTTTGAATAATAAATATATGTCAGACTTGAAACGAATATTAATTTTTTTCTTTTGAGGAAACAACACATCACACTTGCTTGCTGTTCTGCATTTTTAATAACACAACGCAGAATGGTTTATGAATTGCGTTGTTCTCTACTTTACCTCAAATCAGTGGCAGAAAAAATTGTTTAGGTCAAAGGCGACAGCACTTGAGAAAAAAGCACTACTGCCACTCGATCGTCATTCCTGTTTTAGGCACGTGGCACAGAGTATTTATATGAGTTGAGAAGGATGAAGTTTTTTTATACTCAGTGTTTTTCTTTTATTCATCATTATCGTGGTAAAGAGGACAGTTTTATTTCTTGAATTTAATGGTGCCTATGTGCAAATAAACTAATCGAGTAATCCCGTAAAAACTAGAGAGTTTTTCATTTCCAATTGTTCTTGATAGAACCTCGAGCTTTTCTTCTCAATTGTTTGACGTGAAAATTTTTCAAAGAAGATTTTATTTCAGATGTCAGTATGAAAAACTGGGCCTATAATATCGTCAGACTTCGACTTCATAAAGAACTTTTCTTCAAACAATTCACTTTACACATCATAAAGACTTCCTTAGCCGTTCATTTGTCTTTATAATTCTACTAATTAAGCCCAAAAGCTTCTGAAAAGCTAGAGCTGCTATACCAGAGTCTATAAACAAAACAAAGAAACAGTGTCTGAAGTTGGAGGGTGTGGAACTTTCAATTTGTTTTTGCTCAATTTTTCATTCTGACATTTGAAACTACAAGTTCCTATAAAGAATATCACGACGCATCTGTTGAAAAAAAATGGTCCAGACTGTATACTAAGAAAAATGACCCATGGTTTTCGAGATCAATCGTTATTCTTGTGTTTGGTAATCGAAATAGAGAAAAGATACATACTCTAGCTTAAGAAGTGATAACAGTTGGTTAAAAGGACCATATCCACAATGTAAAGAAAACTGTATAATAATCTATCCTTGTACTTGCAAACCGATGTCATATATAGCGTCCAAGGGTTTTTGAGCTGAAAGGTTTATAACAGTAAGAGTATATGACGTATACTTATGGATTTATTATTCAACATTTCCATTACAAAGGTTATTATTCACAACACATGCACTAAAAAAAACGTGGTATATTGCGAAACTTAGGAGATTTCGTCGAACTTTACTATACCTTATAAGATATCTTATAAATAGACGAAATTTTAGTTAGATTTCGGAATCTAATAAGTTTCGTGTAAAACCATTACAGATATTCCTAGTCGCAAACGTTTCGCACTAAACTAATATTTTTCCCTGTTTCATCTATAATACAAACAGATGTCCACCAATCAGAAAGTGGTCTGATCGGACTTGGTTTTTCTGCTAATCCATTTATATTCATTCTACGATTGATTTTTAGAAATGACACCATTGCATTTAGACTTCATACTCTCCTATAAAATATTTATTGCTGGGTCAATAGAGAACGCTTTACTTTGACAACAATCATATCTCCTTGGTCGCTGAATCCTTGAGTAATTTGAAATATAGGTGTGGATGGATGAAGATTGAGTCTAGATTTAGGATAACAAACGCATATACGAGAAAACCAATATAGATATAGTAGTATAAATATAGACGGATGGATTGGTATACGCTTAGGGATGTTTCATCAGAATCCGTATGAAAACTTTGACTTCGGGGACCCTTTTTGGAACCAAGTGAAAAAGTTTTGTACGAGACTTAAAAACACGTTTCAATTTTGTTGCAAAATATGGAATTTTTTTAGAGTTTCGTATGGAACTTTTTTTCAGTTTAATTTTTTGATAATCAGTTTTAAGATCATTTTAAACCGTTTAGAAAGTTTTTTACAGTGTAGTGTTTCTCACCATTCTGAACGATACTACTGTAACAGAAAGACGTCTCTGATAAATTTCTTTTTCAAATTATCTGTTGACAGGAATTGCGGAGACGAATCCCGTGGGCACAATTAACCATTATCAGTAATACTTAAACTAACTATCTCGTCTTATAATCAGTGATATAAAAGTTCTAGAACTGATCTCGCGTCGTCTACATGCTTATCAAACATGACGTCATCGGTAAGATTGATTTCGGTACGTAAAATTCCGGAAGCATCAACTGAGAATGAATTTATTTGGGTATATCAGATGAATGATAAATGGACACCTTTTTCTGACACTGCATCATCAGTCATCGAAAAAGCCTTTCGTCATGGCTTTGAAGAAATATTTATTAATGAAATTTATCGCATTGATTTAAAGCATTTCGTACAAGAACATATTGATGATCGAAACTGTAAACAATCAATTAGACGTCGACGACGACATCTTCTTAAATCATCAGCTTCAAGCGATGAAGCAAATGAAGATGAATCTCGACGTTGTGAACGATTCTCATTTCCTTTGGGATTAGTTTCAAGCTGTAGTGTAAGTGTGGATACAAATTATTATGGTTCACCATTTATTGCAGAATGGTTTCTCGTATTCACGAACAGAAAACGGAAAATTACATTTAATTCTATTTTTCCTGCCCTTGTACAAGGCTTACAGGAGGAAGGAAAAACCGAATCAGAACGCGTGGTACGCAATATCACGGATACTTTAAATAAGATCAGAGATGAAAGTTTCCGAAAGAGGGAGAAAAACAGAATGAAAGAGCTGGAAATTTGCTGTGCAAAACTTTATACAAAATCATGTTTTATTTATCATACAGTCAACATTGCATTGCGCGACAATGATCATACTAAGCTGCGTACTCTTGGACCTTATTGCTTTCTCGTTTTCAACTACATCGGCCGACACCTCAACGATGATTTTTCGATTCGTCGTCGTTTTCGACAAACTCTTCGTCCGACCAAATTTCAATTAACTACTGTCTTTCGTGGTGATTATATTTCTCACGAAATTATACAAGAATATCAACAGGCCGTTGGAAATAACTCTAAATATTTTAAATGGCTCTCATTTGTTTCCACTTCGCGTGATCAAGATGTTGCTGAATCCTTTGCACGAAATGTTTTGTACATTATTGAATTACAACATTACTCATTGAACGATCAATTTGTAGACCTGTCGACAATCAGTTGTCATCAAGAGGAAAACGAGATCCTATTACAACCAGGAGTGCGATTTCAAGTGGTCAAAGTAGAATTTGATGATATGAAGGGTATAAACTTAGTTCATATTAAGATTGTTCCATCGTATGTGTCCACTTTAACATGACTTCTCAGTTTTATTTATATCAAAACCTCACAGAACACAATAATAATCTTGAATGACTGAAGCCTATTTCAAATGACCGATATGTAAATAATTCGGATATACCAAAAGTAGTGATGGTGAGGGTGTCGGTGGGAATGTATTTCTACGCACATCCACACCCTAGCGATTAAAAGCAAGTATAGATAGCATTGAGCCACATGTGATCACATTAGTTAGAGAAAGAAACAGAATCTATATATGGATTGTCTGTTATAAACTTATTTACAATACATGTGTCACTGGAATGCTGTGTATATATACAATGTTAATTATTGCTGTCTATATAAAGGCATTTACTTATCCAAAAAAAATGCATTAGATAAGTTGAATTACATAATTAAAAAAGCTGTCTAGTTATGGAAACTACTCTTTTCAGAAAAAGATTCCTTCGGTTTTTTTCAAAATGTCATCTTCAATTTTAGAGTACCGATGTTTTAGAATTTATTTGCTTATTATATTCTAATAAAATTTATATGCATTCTGTCTTTCCTTGAGAAAAAGCTTGTAGAGAATTCCACATTCTTCAGACTAATTTAATTTTATAAAAAAATTGCGATATATATTTTCTCTTGCATAAAAAGACCAATTGTTTAAATATTTTTTTTATTAATGGTTTTCAGAATCAAGTTTCGTTGGTACATTAATCGAAACTGACGAATGCGTCTGAGCGCGGCTCATGTGAAACATTTTTTGCGTGTAGACGCGGTTACAACTAAAACCGTGTTTAGATGCAAGAAATGTCTCCCTGGAGACGTGTTTAAACGCACAATTTCTGCGTTTGATGTTTACATGGGTAGTAACTGGAGATAAATTGTTAATGGTATTTCTCTAATCAAGATCTTTTATTCCTCAAAGTTTCAGCTCTCTAGCTACAACTAGTGGTTAAATACGGCGACGAGATTGAAACACAAATTTTTGCAGTCGATTTGGAGTGTGGGTCGGAATGTATTTCTACCCACACCCACACCCAAAAACGGATCGATCCATCCTTCTTCGGAGCAAGAACAACCGGAGAGGCCCGTGGACTCTTAGAGGGAGTTATCACTCCTTGAGCGAGCATTTCGGCGAGATTATCTTCGATGATTTTTCGACGAGCAGGTGCATAGCGGTATGGAGCGGTATTCCGAGGTTTCGTGCCGGAGAGAAGTTCAATATGATGTTGAAGTTTATTAGTCCGTCCAGGAGTGTCGGTAAAAACTTGTGGAAACGATTTCATCAGATTGTAGAGCGTATTTTTGTTTGGAGAGTAGTATAGAGTTTGATAGATCCGGAGTTGTGTCAGATGGTGAGCGAGTACAGTGAGAGATTGTATTGAGATTGGGCGAGAAAGTTTGTATTTCCGGCGATTTATCAACTGAAGGTTCATGTGTAGTTGGAAAAGATGGATCAGTGATCTCAATACTAAAACGATCCGATTCAAATCGTAAAGATTTATTAGATTGAGGCCGGTCGTAAAATTGACGTGCCGATTTATTATGTTGAGCCCTGGTGTTGTGATTCGTAGATAAATATGAGGCAGTGTAACATGATCTAGCAGGCCATACATGTTTGGAGAAAGGCCGTGTGAAGTAAACACGTTGGTTACCATCATCAATCTGAAGATTATGTTCCCGGATAAACTTATTACCAATAATGCAAGGTCACCATAAGTCACGAACAACGTATACTGTATGCCAACGAGTGGTATGATGAAGAGTGATGGGAAGACGTAAGATCCATTGTATGGATAATGGTGATTTATCAGCGAGTCGTAGAAAAAAAGAGGGATGAGGTGGACGACGATAACGAGTGAGAAGAGGGTCAAGTTGAGTAAATAGATGGTAGCTTATGAGAGTGAGAGAAGAACCAGTATCAATCAAGAATACAACTGCAGAAGAACCGATACGATCCCGAATGGTAAGGGGCTGAGGTGCACTTTAAAAAAAAGGTATTTTACGGAACCAAAAAAGGTTCTTTACATGGGTACACGGGAAGAACCTTTTTGGTTCCGGAAAAAAAGGTTTCGTACGAAACTTCTTCTTCTTGAACAGGAAAAATGGTTTCGTACATAGGGTTCGGCACGAAACCTTTGCCGGAAAAGTCTAAAAGGTTTCGTACAAGAGGTTCTGTACGAAATCTCTCCAAAAATAATGTCGACAAGGTTTCGCACAAATGGTTTTGTACGAATCTTCTAAAGTATTCACATCTAATGAGGTTGTCCTTGGAAATGATAATTCGGCTTTGAGTTGAACCTCTCTGCATAAGGTAGTTATCGGTGAGATGAGAAAAATCCCCGAAGGATCCCTTGCATTAGCTCTTCTCTAGAAGATTATCCGTATGTTACTCGAATTTTAGTTGAATGCTAGCGAAGAATCCTATTTAGATGTGAATTTGGTTTTGAGTTCGAGCCATTAGTGTTAGATAGATGTGAGAGAAGTATGAAAAGCTCCAAGTAAACGAAGACTCATAAGTCTTCTCTCGAAAGTTATAGCTATTTTCCTTGAATTTGAACCTATAGTGCCGTAGATATCAGTAGGTGGAATGAGATTATTCCGATTTAAGAATTTCTGGACGGAGCAGTCTATTGATGAGGTGAATGTCCCAAAAATTTTATCTGAAACCGGTGCGCTTTTCGCGGGGATGCTGAATTTCACAAACAATACAAAATTTCAATATCTTTCGTGAGATACAAGTTGCATTGTGGAACTGCAGCATTTCTGACAAAAGCGCATTTGTTTCAGATAAAATTTTTGGGACATTCACCTCATCAATAGACTGCTCCGTCCAGAAATTCTTAAATCGGA